CATGTGAATGTAGTCTTCTCTTGATCCTCGGGTTGGATTGGGATTTGGAAGAATCCCGAGTATCCATCCAAGAAACAATAGTGACTATGTGATGCTAGTCTTTCCAATATTTGATCGATGAAGGGGAGTGGGAAGTGGTCTTTCCGGGTGGACTTATTTAATTTTCGATTATCAATACACATCCTCCACCCGGTGACCGACCTCGTAGAAATGGTCTCACCCTTATCATTCTTGATGATGGTCATGCCTCCTTTTTTAGGCACAACTTGAACCGGGCTAACCCACTTACTATCGGAGATAGGGTAGATTATGCCCGCTTCAAGAAGTTTTAAAACTTCTTTTTTCACAACTTCCTTCATATTTAGATTGAGCCTTCTTTGGTGCTCAATCGAGGAAGCATGATAATCATCAAGTAAAATCTTATGCATGCATATAGTAGGACTTATCCCCTTAATGTCATCAATTTGGTACCCAATGATACCTCTATACTCCCTTAAAACAGCTAAGAGTTTCCCAAGAGAAGTATCATCGAGTTTAGCATTGACAATAACGGGATAACTCTCACTATCATCAAGAAAAGCATATTTAAGTAAAGGAGGAAGGGGTTTAAGTTCAACCTTGTGAGGAGGCGTAGTCCTCTCCTCTTTTACCTCCACATTAAGCACTTCCACTTTATTTTCGTTGTGGACTAAAGGTTTGTTGAGCAAAAGATCATACCCCCTCGTTTCTTCAACTTCCTCAACTAAGCCTCCCGTTAGGATAGCTTGTAAAGGATCTCCTTCAAACAAATTTTCTTAGAACTTCTCTAAGTCCCTTTAAGTCCCTTTCCAATGTATCAACTCTATGAACTTCATCATACAATGGCTTTTTCAATGTTTTTGGAAATGAAAATGATATTTTCTCATCTCCCACATTCAAGGTCAATCTTCCTTGCTTCATATCAATCACAACACTCGCGGTGTTCAAAAACGGTCTTCCCAAGATTAGGGGCACCGTAGTATCTTCTTCCATTTCCATTACCACAAAATCACATGGCACAAATACTCTTCCAACTTGAACCGGTACATCTTCAAGAATTCCCAAAGGTATCCTAACCGTGCGGTCGGCCAATTGTAAGGACATCCTTGTTGGCTTCAAGTCTCCCACTTTCAAACTCTTAGCAATAGAATAGGGCATCAAACTCACACATGCCCCAAAATCACATAAAGCATCCATAGCCTCTAAGTCTCCAATCTTCACCGGCATTGCATAGCTACCGGGGTCACCAAGCTTTTGAGGGAGCTTGTTTTGAATGATTGCACTCACCTCCTTAGGAAGGGAGATGGTTGCATTCTCTTCAAGCCTACTCTTGTTGGATAAAAGATCCTTCAAAAAAATTTCATATGTAGGAATTTGTGACATAGCATGAAGAAAGGGGATATTCACTTGAAGTCCTCTCATGACTTCAAAAATGTTTGAAAACTTTTCATTCAATTTCTTTTCAACAATCCTATGAGGGAATGGAATGGGAGGCTTGTATACTTTCATGGGGGGCTTTTCTACCTTTTCCTCATCTCCCTCATTCTAACTTTGTGGCTCCTTTCTCTCTACATCAACTATCTCATTTTCAAACTCATCCTCATTTCTCAGCACAACTCCCTCATCTCTCTTTTGTGGCTCCTCTTCACTCATAACCGGCCCTTCATAACCTCTCCCCGATCTCAAAGTAATGGCCTTAGCTTGCTCTTTTGGGTTCACAACCGTTGAGCTTGGGAAGTGACCACTAGGATTGGAGGATGAACTTCCAACTTGTTGCGCAATTTGAGCCAATTGATTCTCAATTATCTTATTGTGTGCTTGAAGTTGTTGGATGTTCGCTTGCATATCCGAATTGCTTCTTCCTTGTTGTGTAATGAAGGTTTCAAGTGCGGCTTCAAGGCTAGATTTTTGAGGAGGTGGAGGAGCGGGTTGGTTATATTGTTGCCTTTGTTGGTTTTGGTCCCTTTGGTTAGGGTGACGGTAAGGAGCTTGTTGGTTTTGTGGATGAGATTGGTTGTATTGATTTTGAGGGGGGCCTTGATTTTGTTGTTTCCAACCCGTGTTTTGTTGGGGTTTCCAACCTTGATTGTAGGGTTGAGAGTATTGATCGTTTCTTTTCCCAATAGCCGCAGCTTGTTCTTGGTTAGTTGAGTTGCAATAGGAGGACAATTGATCATTTCCTCCACAAGTTTCACAAGACATGACTTGTTGTGAAGAAGAGCTTGGAGATGTAAGGGTGGCTTGATCTAGCTTGTGAGCTAGCATGTCAAACTTTGATGCAATAAGGTCTATTGCACTAAGGTCGTGGATTCTGCCCTTCTTTGCTTGAGGTTTCCGTCTATCACCTCCGTACGCATAGTGCTTTGCCACTTCTTCAATCATCTTGTATGCATCATCCATCGATAGCTTTTTAAGGCTACCACTGGCCCCGTTATCAAGGTTGACCCTTGAAGTAGGAGTAAGACCATCATAAAAGCTTTGAACAATGATCCATGATGTGAAACCATGGTGTGGGCATTTTCTAGTGTAGTCCTTGAAACGCTCCCAAGCTTCACTTAAGGTTTCATCAATCTCTTGGTTGAAATTAGTGATTTTCCTTCTTAGTTCGGCGGTCTTTTCGGGTGGACAATACTTTCCAAGGAAAGCTCTAGTAACTTCATCCCATGTGGTCAATGACCCCTATTCTACCGATCTCAACCAATGCTTTGCTTTGTCACGGAGGGAGAATTGAAACATGTGCATACAGATGAACTCTTCCGTAATGTTATTTTTCTTAATGGTTGTGCACAATTCGAGAAAGTTGTCCAAATGAGCAAAAGGACACTCATGAGAACTCCCACCAAATTGATCACTTTGTATCATACGGATGAGTTGAGGTGAAAGCTCAAAATTATTTGCATTCGTAGTAGGGAGACGTATGCCACTCCGAAGTGTGAAGGCATTGGGGTGGTCATAATCCCATAACAATGGTGGAGGAGGATTGTTATCACCCATGTTATCTTCTTCGTTGGTTGCAAAGATTTCCTCCAGATTGGAATCCGAATATACAATATAAAACTCGGGTGTGCCTTGCAAAAGCCTCCTCACGTTTCTCAAAGTCCTATTTAACTCTGGATCAAAGGGAATAAGCGGTGATTGCTTACTCTTCCGTGTCATGCAAGGTCAAACAAAGCTAAGAAAAACGTAGCAATGACTATCACAAGTTGAAAACACAAATATACAAAAATAAATAAGAAAAATTATGATACAAATATACACACTTAGACTCATTCAACAATAATACATTCAATGTGACTTTGCCTCCCCGGCAACGGTGACAAAATTTGATAGGCCGTCGTCGAGCCTACCAAAGATAAAGTCCTATCTTGGTCTCACTAGCTAATAGCAAGGGTAAGAAAGGGTCGAACCCAAGAGAGGCGTTGAATCAACCACCGAAATACTACCGCATAAATAAGCTAAATGAAGTCGAAATTGGTTTGGTTTTATGTAACAAGTGCTAGTTCAAGTCAACTAAAGCTAGGGGGAGATTAACAATATTTAGAGAGTTCTAGGGCTTGGGATATACCACTCAATTTCGTCAAAAATCACATTTAGCAAGTAGCAAACAATGGTAATTAAAGGGGATAATATAGGGGAAGTCATCTAAAGCACCCAACTACTCTCTCAAGCTAGAGGGATTACTCGAATTATGAATACAACCTACTCTCGTGGTTACAAAGCATAAAACAAGTATTAAAGCATAATCACGATGACAAAAACATTCCCTTGACTGGAAATTCCTATTCTAATGGTATTTCAAGTCAATTAAGCATAAGGGAGCTAACTCAAGTTCATCTCTCGATCCTTCGTTGAGAAAGCTTAGATAATAGTTCTAGCAATGGCCATATACAAGAACTAAGCAATTAAACCACTTAAGCTCAACTAATTAATACCCAACAATTACCAAATTAACACATGCATCAAGTAATTAGTGACTACATTGAGGGTTTTACCCAAACCCTAGAAAATTAGACTACTCACAATCCATGGAGATTAAAGCAATTAAGGATTTCAAGTAACTCATGAACAAGAATTAACTAAAGATTAAGCCAAATAACAATCTAAGCATCATGAATTAAGCAAGATAATTAACAATCAAAGAAATTAAAATGGAAGAGAAGAGTGAGAAAATGTTACTAGAAGCTTCAACTTGAATATCAATGGTAGAACTTGTCTTCTACAATGATTGAGAATGAAATTTCCAAGCTAATAATTATAATCTAACTAATGATTTGAGAATATTTGTGTTTCTACAATTGCAAACTAAGAGGAAGCACTAAAAACTTGTATTCCGTACAAATGAGCTCCCAAGGTTATTTATAAAGACCCCCAAATAAAAAGGACGGAGAAAACAAGAGTCGGGCACGGCTACAGGTCAGCACAGACGTGCTGAGGTTGGCACGGACGTGCAGCTATACCTGCACGGACGTGCTGAGATTGGCACGGGCGTGCACCTGGGAGGAAAAAGGTACTGTTTTAAGTTAGGGCATCCCGCACGGACGTGCTGATATTGGCACGGGCGTGCACCTGGGAGGTAGAAGGATCAGTTTTGGCTGAGCAACCTGCACGGACGTGCAGGATCAGGCACGGACGTGTTGAATATCCTGCACGGACGTGCTGAGTTCTGCACGGACGTGCAGGCCTTGAAAGCAGTAGGCAGCAGCTTCTGGTCATGCTGGAACACTTCTGCACGGACGTGCCATACATTGCACATCCGTGCAGACTCTCTAAGGCCTCTATCTTCACTTTTCTTCGGTTTTGCTCCATTGTTTCGGCTTCTAACCACGGTTTATCATCCAAATGCCTCAAATGGTCTTCTTTGAACCTAAAAACCCGAAAAAAAAACACTAACAACCCGTGAAGCAAGGGATACACAAAAGTTGAACAAAAATAGAGTAAAAGTGAACCAAAATGCCAATATACCAAGTAAACAAGGTTCGAAATCACTCTAAAATCGTATCAAATAACAAGTAATCAGTTGTCCATTCACTCACTGCATTGATCTTTGAGGGATCTACTGAAATTCCTTCTCTAGAAATCACATGACCCAAAAAGGCTACCTTTTCTAACCAAAACTCACACTTCGACAGCTTAGCATACAACTGGTGCTCCCTCAAGATCGACAATACTTTCCTCAAATGATTTTCATGCTCCTCCCTATTCTTGGAGTAGATCAAAATATCATCAATGAAAACCACCACAAACTTATCCAAATATGGCCTAAAGATTCGATTCGTCAAATCCATGAAAACTGCAGGTGCATTAGTTAACCCAAATGGCATAACTATGAACTCATAATGACCATAACGCGTCCTGAAAGCACTCTTGGCAATGTCTTTCTCTGCAATTCTCAAATAATGGTACCCTGACCTCAAATCTATCTTGGAAAATATTCCAGCCCCTTTCAACTGATCAAAAAAACCATCAATTCTAGGCAAAGGATACTTATTCTTGACTGTCACATTATTCAACTCACGATAGTCTATGCACAACCTCAAAATTCCATCCTTCTTTTTCACAAACAACACTGGAGCACCCCATGGAGAAGAACTAGGTCAAATATATCCCTTATCCAACAATTCATCTAACTGTGATTTCAATTCCTTCATCTCAGCTGTAGCCATCCTATATGGAGCCTTCGAGATAGGTCCAGTCCCTAGTAGAAATTCTATGTAAACTCAACATCCCATACTGGTGGCATACCTGGTATCTCATCAGGAAACACATCTGGAAATTCCTCAACTACTGGAATACTCTCTTTCTTCTCATCCTCCCTTCCCACTTCCTCAACACTACACATGTATATAGGATAACCCTTCCTGACACAATTTTGAAATTGCAAGGCAGAAATGATTTTGATCCCTGAACTCTTCCCTTCCTTCCTATAAGTCACTATCACATTACCCGGACCCAACAATTTTACTTTCTGAGCAGCACAATCTATGTGAGCCTTATACTTTCCCAGCCAGTCCATTCCTAAAATCACATCTAAGTCTTTCATATCAAACTCAATCAATTCAGAAGGAAATTCTACTCCAGCTATGGTGATAGGTACCCCTTTATGTGACTTAGAGCAATTCCTCACTTTCCCAGTTGGAATAGAAACATCTAGAGACACTAACAATGGACTCTCTAACTTTAATCTCTAGACTAGAGATTTTGAAACAAAAGAATGAGACGCACCCGAATCAGACATGACTCTAGCATTCAAAGAACAAACAAGGAAAGTAACAAAAACCACATCATTAGAAGCCTCAGCCTCACGACGATTCATCATGAACACACGACCCTTAGGGGCCCCTCCTGCACCGCTACTGGTTCCATTCCTCTGAGCTGATCCATTGGTCTGGGGTGGTTTATGTGGGTTATTGGTCTCCAGGACTTTCCCCATCTTAACATCCTTCTCCTTGGTGTAACATTCATACTCCCAATGCCCCAGTTTCTGACAGTAACGACAAGTCACAGGGTTTCCCTCACAGTCCTTCCCAGGGTGATTTTTCTCACATCTCTTATAAAAATAACTTCTCTTAGGCTTGGTGTTATTTCCATTCCCATGGTTGTTATTTCCCTGTCCATTAGCTCCCTTCCCAAGGTTTCCCCTATTGTCCCTCCTATTGAATTGCCCATTTCCCCCAGAACTCTCCCCAATCCTAGGCCTCTTATCAACTTCATGTGAACCCCCATCACTCTTCATTTTCCCTCCAGCTGAGTTCTGTAACTCTCTCCCTCGGATCCCATATAGGTGGGCAGCTCTCCCATAGACTTCATCTAGTGTTTTGAAGGTTACCCCCCCCCCCCCCAACTTCCCCTGAAGACTTAGGGTTAAACCTTGCTCGAACCTTTGGGCTTTCAATTCCTCTGTGGGTAGTACCTCAGGTGCAAGCTTCATCAACTCAATAAATTTATTATAATATTCATTAATGGTCATATTTCCCTTCCTCAGATTGGTAAACTCCATGCATTTCTGCTTCTTCAGGTAGGCCGGATAAAACTTGTCTCTTATAGCCTTCTTCAATTCTTTCCACCCAAAGTTAGGGGTTTCTAAAATCCTAGTCCGGTTTTGACTCCACCATAGGTCAGCTTCTTCCCTCAAGTAATAAACAACATTATTAACCTTCAATTCTTCAGGAAAGTTAATGGCATCAAACAACTTGTCAAACTCCCTTATCCAATTCTCCAAACTAGCAGGATCCTCCTTCCCAAGGTAAGTGGGTGGTTTTGCAGCTGCTACCCTCTTAAAAACTTCCCTAAATTGATTTAAGTCGTTGCTACGATTCCCCTGACTCACCAGCTGGCTCATGCTTTTAACAATGGTCGTTAGCTTCCTAAGAGTAGAGCTCATTTTGGAACCAGTGCGTCTACTATTTCTGGCTCTTAGAGACATCCTGAATAACTTAAAATAACACATACACATTTATTATATAAGAAAATTTCATAAAACTCTTATTAAAGATTGAAACTCCATATTTAGCCATATAGGCTTACTAAAATAATTAATGCATCTTGTCACTACAAATTCATAAGGGCCACTAGTTGGCTTACAAAACAAAACAACTTGCTATTAATGGAAGAAATCAATCAATTATTATTTTGAAGTTCTACTCTTGGTCTTAGCTTGCTAGATCATCTTTCTGGCCACATCACCGGTGTTTGCTGAGGGGAATCAGGTTCTACAGGTTTAGCCATGTGGGTTGGAATTTGGTTACATTCAAGCAAGAAGGTAAGATAAAATTCACTATAAGTTGGGCTACGGCACGAGCCATAGCTAGAGTTGCGGTTTGAGCTAACATATGGGCTAGGGTTACAGTTTGTACTGTGTTTTGGACCAGATACTCGACCTCTTGGGACAAGGGGTTCAGGAGAATGAGGTGGGGATTCAAATTCATTTGGGTGAGGGATTTCTAAGTCATTGGATGATGTATAGTCAAGATACAAACGTGGAGGTGGTAAGGGTGGCATATCATAGTTTAGATTATTTAACTTTTGGACTTCTTGTGGTGTAAACCGAAGAGGAATTTCAGCAACTATTGGTCTTGGTATTCGGCTCCAGTCAACTTCGGCGAAATGTAGGTCTGCTTTAAAATTGGTTAAGGTTCCTAGACATTTTTCTTCATGCATATAGGCTTCAATATTCCACAACCCATTAGGTTTAATTAAATTTCCATACTTTCGGATTAATGTATTATATTTAGGTGTGTTGGGTTAGTGAACTAGGTCCAGTAGGATGATCCATGGTTCCTCGATCATAAATTTCATATTCCTGTATCTTTTTATATCAGTAGCATGTCAAAAAATGTCTGTTGTAAAGTCACGCACAGATATAGCATCCGATTTTACTAGTTTTTTTATCAAAGAAATGTCTTCTAACAGTTTTAATCATCTGTGATAACACAAACTATTTAAGTAAGCAATTCAAATTTCCTAAAGGATAAATCCAAAATGAATACCAATGGAACCAAAATTCCATAACCACACAAATAACTAGACGACCCTAATTATACTTAGACTAATGCACATTAGGTGTTTACAAAATCAAATAGTTTCAATCCATTTTGTTTTCGAAAATAATAATGTACTCGATTCTTGATATTGGACGGTCGAGCCCGCGTCTCCCAGGAAAGTTACCTACAACATCGAGGCGAGCCTTTCCTAGATAGAGAGTCGTACCCATTATAGGCCTCCGAAGAGAACCCGAGCATCCTTTTCTCAATCATCTTTCCAAATAAGAAAATAGTTTTTATAGAAAATAATTTTACTTTGAAGAATGCGAAACTCTATCTATCCTATATGCCCATCTTAAGTCTACCCATAAGTTTTATTTCTCAATTTTAATCTTTCTTAGACCTGGAAATCTAATACCCCTTTGTAACACCCCCAAATCTCTCTCTACGTAATTACTATATTTATACGTGTACAAATACTGTAGAAGTAGACTTGGGCGTATTACCGACACGTGAAAACGTAAGGCTTACTTAATTACTCAAATTGCAGTAGAAAAATAACTAACTTTTATTAATAATAATATGAGTAACCATAATAACTGTTTCAAAATAATCTAATAAAAACTCCACATATAGATAAAATTAGCTCCTAACTATGTGATCCCAGTCCCGACTTTAGTATGCGCACGAACAACTCCACACTTGAAATCAAGACTGCTTACCAAAATGGTAAACAGGGCGAACCAAAACAAAAAGAAAAATAGATTAGCAAAAACGCTAAGTACATATAAGTGCAAGACATGTAAATACTTTTAATAGTCAAACATGCTTTCGAAATAACCATTTGACTTGTCACAAGTCACATTCAAAATTAGACTTTCTAAAATTAAACCTTCCAAGGGTAGTAATGATCATCATTAAAAACTTTCCAATTTAAAGAATATAACTCCAAACCAATTTTCCTCACCTAAGTGTGCACACTCCCAAAGGAAGTTATACTATACTCGAGGAAAGACCAGATCATACAAAGTTCATGGTCTTACTTAACCAGTTCCGGGTAGTGGGACAATTAAAATATCAAATACTCAGGCTCATAATGATCTGCAAATGAATTAAATCAAGTGATTTATAAATCAAAAAACTTTTACTAAATCGATCAACACTTTTAGAGATCAAACCTTCAAATCATAAAATTATATACTTTAACTTGTCATGAAAATTGTTAACTTAAATATTTATACACAACATTTATTCAAACAATCATTAAAACAAAAATTGTACAAAACACGCATTGTATCAAGGACCTAGCCACCTATACGTACCTTGATCACGATAATAATAAGGTACGACTACTAAACTTGACCACGATCGAGGGATTCCTCCTACACAAATAAAATAACCTTAATTAATATAAGGTTAACAAAATAACACAAAACCATAAACACCATTCTATTGTGCATGAACTACCGAAATATTATCCTTATTAATCGAAACTTTTATAACTTATGGTAGCTAATACTAAAACAAGTGACATTAGTATATTAGAAAACTTGTGACGTTAGTATCAAAATCAAAAGTAGTATTTTAGAAATATTGGTAATGGTAATAAGAGGCAAAGTTCAATTTTTTTTTTGTTTGTTGTTGTTATGCGGCAAAGGATGGAGTACAGATTAATGTACGCACTTGCTGGAAACAAGTCACGGCAGCAACGAGTGGCAGTGAGGTGGTGGTTGGCGGCAGTGGCGGTGGCAATGATGAGGTAGTTGTTTGGTGGCAGCAACTTGGTTGCGGGTTGTGGAGTTTATTTAAGCTAGATAGAGGAAGCAGAGGGTGTGATGAGATAGAGAGTAGAGAAGAGAATTTTTGATTTTTTGTGTGAATAAGTGGGAAGAATTAAGGGTCTACTTATAGTGTTGAGGGTGTAGAAAGGATAGAGCTTAAGGTGTGATATGATTACTATAAAATGTGATAAGTTTTTGGGGTTGTTAAGGTACTTGAATCAAATTAATTCTAGATTAATAGTTGGGTTAAAAGATAAGAAAGTTAAAATGGATATACATATGGTTGGGAGAAGGAAGATAAGAACAAAATGAGATAATGAAGAAGAAGATTAGAAGTTAAGTTAAAATATACTTATTAACAAACTAAAATGATAAAATCCATTCTTAAAATCATCAGCTTCAATTCACATTTCATTTTTTTTTAATAAATGAAAATCATACTTAAATAAGTAATTAACAAAAATATAAATATTTTAGATAATATTAAAACTAAGTTAGTTGTAAATCATATTAGATATTATCTTTAAAAACTCTTGAAATTGCTAGTATAAAATATAAACCGACCTTTAAAAGATAATTAAGCCTATATTATTAATTTAGAAATCCGAAAATAATTAATTATTCAAATGATTAAATACTTATATTTGGCGTCAAAATTTAAAATTCATTTTGGCTCCAAATTATATAATTTAATAACTTTCCAAAATATTTTCTAAAAATTCAGGGTATTACAATTATGAATGGGGTGTAACCTTCACGGGTCAATCGTTGTTGCCTTCGTTGTCCCTTTATCGTGGTTGCCTTTTATGATCCGTGAACGGTTTACAAGCTCCTTAAAAACTTGTTGGCGGCTCCCTTCTTTCCTTGTCCCTAATCGTATTATGTCAATTCCCACTTTCTATGAGTGCCAATCATATTCACACATGCTTTAATGTAGGCGCACTTCGAGCGACGCCTACAGGATGGTAATGTGTTGACATCTCAATATCATGTTCATTTGCCAACAGAAACTGATAAGGTTTTGAGCCCCATTAAACAAGCTACTAATGAGACAGTTCTTATTCCTCTAAGGAACTCTTTTGCTTATTTGAGGAGTGAGGAGCAGCCTGGTCAGATGGTATTTGGTGATGTTAGGACTGCTACTGAAGCTCAAGCATAGACTCCTGCCCAAGATTATGGATAGAGTTTTAGTATGGAATATTAGAGGCTTAAATAGCTTGTCAGGTCTAAATCTACCGCAAGTGTACGGGTCAATTACAGTAAATATAGGGTGAGCAAGGTATCGTATCCACAAGGAGGTCTATTCTTGGGCGTATTACCGCCGCATAATTACGCAAGGCTACTCAAAATACTTAACTGAACAACAAAACTTGTAGCGGAAACTCAACTTTCTTTTATTAATACTTATAAAAATAGTAACGTTGTTATGAATACTCAAAAATAAAGACAAGACCAACATTTCCTAATCTAGGTGAAGTAAATCTCGGGACTCCCATATGCTCATTCATGACTCCACCTGAAAATAGTCAACACTGCTTACCATTATGGTAAACAGGGCGAGCCAAAACAAATAGGATATACGGATTGGCAAAATATGCTAAGTACGATAAGTGCAAGGTAATGTAAACTCAATTTATTTGCAAACATGATTTTAGAACAAATTCCAATAATTAATCCAATAAATTCAAAACTCATTATTCCAAAAACGATTCCAATGATTCATATTCAAAATAATAGTTAATAAAACCAATTCCTTTTAATCCAATTCCTCACCCAAGTGTGCACACCCCCCAAGCTAGTCTCCTTATATTACAAGGCTATTCTTGAGGAAAGAACCGGTCATACAAAGTCCAAGGCCTTATCAATAAACCAAATCTGCATAATAGGATTACTAACATGCTTATAAAGCATTAATAATAATAATTCAATGGTTCAATAAATCCTTTTAATATCCAATAGTTCAAATATAATTCAAAATCCTTTTTAATAATTCCTCATAATTTCAAAATCAAAACATTTTAAATTAATACTTGAGAATAAAATCTCATATTAATAACTTTTCACCCTTGAAAAACCTTTATTTAATTCAACAAACCTTTTAAAATCACTTCCTTTATTTAAACACGATAAGGAATCCAAACCATTCAAAACATGATTTAAAAATCAATCATTCAAAATACTTTTATTAAAATCAATACCTTCAAACATAATTTATTTCAAATCATAATTCAAATCAATTTAATTTAATCACCAATCAAATCATGTAAAACATGTTATTCAAACCAATCACTTTCAAAGGTATCTAGCCACCTAAACGTACCTTGATCCTTGCTAAAAAAAAACCACACAAAAAGAACCTTAAGAACCTTGATCGAACACACCCTACAAATAAATATAACCTTAATCAATATAAAGTGAACAAATAATTAAAAACCCCCAACTATATGTACATGAACCTTTTAAATTAATTTCTCAAAAACATCATTAAAAATAGGAAAATTCTCTTTGGTAACCACAAACTTTTATCTTTTCTCAGTGGTAAAGTCTAAAACTTTTAATTATCAATGGTAATCACGAATTAATATTATTAAGCAAATGGTAACTTAAGTTAAATATTTATTAATTCTTTAACCATGGTTTAGCTACAAGATTGCAAAAAGACACAACCATCCCCAAAAACAACCACATCTCCCTTCTCCTGATTTTCTTCCTTTCTCTTTCCTCCTTCCAACATCAATCAACAGAAGACCGACCATAATCAACAGAAGTAAACGCAACATCGGAGGAACCCTCACACCTAAGGCTAACCAAAGGAAACCGCCGCTGAACACGACGATGATTTCGACCTGAAAAGTTGATCAACAAGGAGAATATTAGGACGAAATCATCTTCAACCTCCCTGTTCATTTTTCTGCAAAACCCAAATTTTTGTTTGATTTATTAATTTATGCAGATCTTAAACTTAAAGCTTGAAAAGATAACATTGGATGATTCGAAAGTTTAGCAACTAAAGTAATTTGTTGATCTCTGCAAATCTTATCCTTCCATTCTCGAGCAGGCAACGACATTGATCCAAAAAGGATCGAAATTGCCGAATTGGGGTAGCTTGATTGTTTGCGAATTGGTGAAAAGTGATGGCCGAAATTGAATAATGTTAAATAATTGTATAATTAATTTAAATTCAATAATTACGTTAATGGAGGTTTTCTCATTACTCGTTATTAGTGTGGCCGAAATTGGGATTTGGGTTCCTGTTCTATTGCTTTATTGTTTGCGTATTGTTCGTTAGTGGAGGTGGTTCAGGTGGTCTCTACGGCGGTGGTTCAAGTGGGTGGCTGTGGTGGTAGTTGGGGCACAGGGGCAGTGTAGAGGAGAAGAAATAGGGGGGGGGAGAAAGAGGGGAAAAAGGGGAAGGGGGTTTCTTCGGTGTGCAACAGCACAAGGCTGCGGTGGTCGGAGGTGGATGTCTCCGGCGGGGGAAGGGGCTGAGACGCCATCTCCGGGACGGGGAAGGGGCTGGCGGTTGGCTGGTGGCAGTGTGGTTGGGGAGTGGTTTGGATTTTTTTGTTGTTTTTAAGTAATTTAAAGGGTACTAATGTAAATTTATTGTTACTTAACCAAGATTAACCTTGGTTAATCATTTAAAAATATTTTTTTATTATTAATTTTACCATTTGCTTAATAATATAAATTCGTGATTATCATTGATAAAAAAATTTCACACTTTACCACTGAGAAAAAATAAAAGTTCGTGATTACCACAGAGAATTTTCCTTAAAAATATGATTTTATATAATTAAAACTACTCATAATAATTATTTATAAATCCCTCATAATAATAATAATAATAATAATAATAATAATAATAATAATAATAATAATAATAATAATAATAATAATAATAATAATAATAATAATAATAATAAGAGAAGAGAATAAGAAAAGATAAGAAACCAAGGAAAATAGAAGAATTGGATTTGCGTTGGAAAGAATAGGCAGAACTTGCAGAGGCTATAACTCCTTTGATATAACTCCAAATAGGGTGATTCTTGAGCCTAACCTCAAGTACTTTTCGAGAAGAACAATATTCTGTGAAATGTCAATAACCCAAAACCGATCAGAAGTGCCCAAAAATCGGCTTCAAAGATAAACGGGATGATTTGTGTAAAATTGAGAAGAAAAGAAGAGAACTGGTGTGAAGAATGTGAGAGGTATGAAGGGGTATTTATAGGCTAGCTCATGAAAGAATTATGAAAAGAGAATGTGGGAAGAATTATGGCAAGTAGGGTTTATGGGATTACTTGGAGAAGTGAGTAAAAGAATTAAGGAAATTTTTGATATTAAGGTGATTGTGTATAATTGAATATGGAAGGTATGTATGTCATGAAAAATAATAAGGAAATTAGAATTACTTGGGGAATAATTAAAAAGAATGAATGGCAAGAAAATATGTTGATTAGATATTAAAAAACGGAGAATTAGAATTAAGGAAAATAAGAGATTTTGGGAGATAATTAAAAATATAGTTTACCAAAATAATTTCCCCCAAGATAATACAAGAGGGCCGAAAATATTGAGCTTACCATAGATCAAATTTTCGGATTCCTCTAGATATATTTAGGAATATTTTGCTTGGTTTTTAAGGAATAAAATAATTTCATAAATAATATAGAATAATTAATTAATTAATTACCAATTATTTACCAATAAATAACCAAGAAAAATCAGATTTTCCATACATGGAAAATCCGAAAATCCTAGCTAGTTATTAGGTAATTTTGGACATAATAATTAATTAATTAAAATATTATTTTTCTTTAATTAAAATATCCGAAATATGTAAATAATCTGGTTTTTAAGATAAGATAAATGAATAATAAATCTTATCCAAAATAATGATTAGTTTTCAAAATTCTTTTGGCGCCAAAATTAAAATATTATTTTGGCTCCAAATAATAAATTTACTAAAATACCCTTTTTATAAAATAATTCTTAATTAATTAGTTAGAAAATACGTATGAAAAATACGGGTATTACATATTCAATTACCAAATTAAGAAACTAAATATTATTTAGACGACGAAAATATGGGAAAAGTAGTACTAAACTATAAACGATTAAGGTTGCAAACTAATAAAACAATAGACAATAATGAGAAGTAGTTCTAGGTTTGGGGTTTCGCCAATTACTCTCTATAATGAAATTAAACTAATTGTAGGGTTAAACATATATAAAATAACAATGATCGAATTACCAAAAGTATGTTATCTCCTCTCCCAAGATAGAAAACGTATATCTAAATCAATCTCATGTCTACTTCTGTGATCACAACAATTGAAATAAACTCACTAAGAACAAGAATTCAATAAGACCACCCCAAGTGTATAACTATTCCTAAAATTATACTATTTGACGTTTGATAATCCAACGAACTAGTATTGAAAGTTCACTTCCGCTAATAATCCAATACCTTAAACATACAATCAACTGGCCAGATTAAAAGTACGAATTAAAACAAGATTATCAAATTGCAATTATATAAATCAAACCAAACAAAATAATTCAACTCATGGATAAATTGTAAAAGACTATATCCCTAACCTAGAACAAGCGAAATTAGCTAGACATGGAAATTAAGAGAACACAACTATTTAATGAAGAATCAATATTAAACATATCAAATCAAGCAAAAACCAGTCAATTGCATATATTAAGGGAAGAAAGAACGCTGCTCCAAGCTCGGTCCAGTCACGGTTCTTGCGAGGTGTTGTTGTTCGTCTCCTCTCCCCTTTCGTGCATCCTCTGTTGCGTCATCTCCGACTCCTCTCTTCTTCTCTGCGAATGTGTGATTTATACAGTAGTAGTTGTGAGGGTTCTTTCGTGGGTTTTTCCTCTTGCTGCCGCTGCTACTTTCTTTTTGTAGTATTGAGTTAGGGCCTGTTCTCATATGTTGAAATTCAGTTCAGTTCAGTTCAGTTCAATTTAGTTCAGCTCCTAATTTCCTTCTCTTATAAAATATTAATTTCATTTCAATTCAGTTCAGTTCAGTTTAGCTCAGTTCATTTTAGTTCAGTTCAGTTCAGCTGAGTTCAGTCAATGAGAATAGGCCCTTAGTGGGTTGCAAAACATTAAAACCCATTACTTTTCTTAATATGTTGCACGTGAGTTGGGAGAATGTGGGCTTTCTTTGTTCTTTTTCTTTTCTTTGTGATTTTCTTCTAGTCCAACTTGCAATAAACCTGCAGACCAAATGAAAAATGGGTTTCTTAATTTCTTTTTCCATAATAGTAACATATTAGCATAATACAAGTATAATTAACTAAAAATAATCAATTAAACTTAATAAAGTAAATCTCATGATAAGACATTAAAATCTATATAAACACTTAAATTATACTAAAAAATAGCATAAAAATGATATAATAAAGTATATAAAATATGAACTTATCAATAGCCTCAGTAAGAAAGGAGAGATTAAGAATTACATGGCTTAGAATAGTATAGGTCTCTACTGCTTAATACAAACTAAGGTGAAGCTAGAGAATTTCCCTAGGATTTGTCACAAATTGTTTGATGGTTGGTGTGTTACTACTAACTTCAATAAAGTCAAAGGTGGTAGAATTTTGGTAGCTTTGAGAAATGAATTGTTTGGTGTGGATATTTTGTATAGTGGTCCTCAAATTATACATACACAAGTATTTAATAAGACACTAATAAAGAGTTTTGAGTGCTCTTTTGTGTATGCAATGAATGATGTTGCTAAGAGGATTCTTCTTTGGGATCAACTTAGGGGTATTGCTGGTAATTGTTCAGGACCCTGGATCATAACAGGGGATTTTATTAATCCTCTCTTTCTTGATAATAGAATTAGAAGACAGATTAATAGTGCAGAGATTGTTCCTTTTGTTGAGTGTGTGAACTATTGTGATATGAAAGATATGATCCAAGTTGGTTCTAGATACACTTAGACAAATAAGCAGCATGGAGAAGATAGGGTTTATAGTAAAATTCATAGAGCTTTGGTTAATTCTGATTGGATCATGGAGTTTCCTAATTCTATGGTTTATTATAGTCCTGAGGTTTGGTATGATCATTATCCTGCTGTAATTCAGTTTGATGAATTCAGAAGAAGTGGTCCTAGAGCTTTCAAGTTTTTTGATATGTGGGGTAGTCATCCTCAGTTTGGTGAGCTTGTTAGTGATGCTTGAGGAATTGAGGTACATGATCAGCTGATGTATCAAGTGGTGAAGAAATTGAAGAAAGTTAAAAGCGTCCTCAAGAGCATAAATAGGAGTGATTACTCTGAGATTGGTGCTAGGTATCCGAAGGTTAAGAATGATTTGATAGCTATGAAAAAGAGAATTCAAGAAGATTATAGCAATACTGAGCTTCAGAATAAAGCGAAAAGATATTTTGGGGAATTTCTCCAAGGTAAAGAAAGACTATTTTGATTTCTTACAGCAAAAGGCTAAGATTAGATGGCTGAAAGCTGGTGATGATAATACTTCTTTATTTCATAGAAATATTAAAGTCCAGGCTTACAGGAAGAAGGTTTTGGCTATTGCTGATATGAATCGTAGTTGGTGTGAGGATAGAAATGTTGTGAATAATGCTTTCATTGAGTATTATAAATGGCTTTTGAGTACTGATCAAGACTTCCTTATTAAGGTTGATCAGAGAATTGTTGAGCAAGGTCTTGTAGTGTCAGGTGAGCTAGCTGCTAGTTTATCCTGTTCTGTCTCTCAAGAAGAAATAAAGAAATCTCTTTTTAGCATTCCATGCCTTAAGGCTCCTATACCTGATGGATTTAATAGCTCTTTTTATATGTTGTGCTAGAATACAGTTGGAAGTGAGGTATGTAATGATGTTAAGCTCTTTTTTAAAATGGGAAGATGCTTAAGGAAGTCAACTGTACAAATCTGGTGTTGATTCCTAAAATTAAGCAGCCACAGTCTGTTATGGATTTTAGACCCATTGCATGATGTAATATGATTTACAAAGTCATTACTAAGCTGCTTTGTAATAGATTGAAAAGGGTTCTACCCAGCATAATCTCATAAAATCAGTCTGGTTTTGTGTAAAGAAGGAAGATTTGCCATAATATTTGTATAGTGCAGGACCTTGTTGGGAGATATAAGAGGAAGAATACTCCACCTGGATGCATGTTTAAGGTGGATATCAAGAAAGCATATGATTCAATGAACTGGGAGTTTCTAAAGGATATGGTAGTTGCTCTCAAGTTTCCTGAGCAGTTTGTGAAATTAGTCATGGAGTGTGTCACTACTCCTAGCTTCTCTTTGGTTTTAAATGACGATATGAGTGGTTTCTTTCAAGGAAAAAAAGGATTAAGGTAAGGGGATCCATTCTCTCCTCTGTTGTTTGTTATTTGTATGGATTATCTCACTAGAATTATGCAAAATATTGGCAAGCATAGAGAGTTTGTCTATCATCCTAGATGTAAAGCTGTGCAGTTAAATCATCTAGCTTTTGCTGATGATTTAATCATTATGAGTAGAGGGGATGAAAAAGTCGTGAATCTGTTAATGAGAGGGCTTGCTACATTTGCTGCAGCTTCTGGTCTTGCTGCTAATAGTGGCAAATCCAATGTTTACTTCTGTAATGTTTAGGAGGATGTTAAGACAGCCATCATTAGAAACTCGGGTTTTCAAGAAGGTTAATTACCTTTTAGGTATCTTAGGGTTAATGTTAATGCCAAAAAGTTGTTAAATGATGACTGTCAGGTGTTAATTAATAAAGTTGTGGCAAGAATCAGAGTGTGGGGTAGTAGAACTATGTCTTACACTGCTAGGGTGGTATTAGTGAATTTTGTCATAGCTATTATAGAAACTTCATTTGGGATGGAAGAGTTATTTATAGCAGAGCTCCTCTAATTGCTTGGGATATAGTTTGTAGATCTAAACAGCAGGGAGGATTGGGCGTTCATGATTGTATTAGTTGGAATAATACAACAATGGGAAAGTATATTTGGGACATTGCAAATAAGAATGATAGTTTATGGCTGAAATGGGTGAGTCATCACTATATTAAAGGGAAGAACTGGAAGAGAATGGGGTGTCCGACCCATGCTAGCTGGCAGTGGAAGCAAATATGAAAGGTGAAAAAGAAGATTAAGCATATCTTTAAAAGGAATGTGTGGAATCAACATGAGAAAGGGGTACACTGTGTCTAGTGCTTATAGGTGGCTTCAAGAGCAGCAACCTGATGTTCTTTGGTGTAAGTGGATCTGGAATAGGTATAATATCCCTAAGCGCAAGTTTATAGCTTGGATAGCAGCTTGGGGAAGGCTCAGAACCAGAGAGAAACTTAAGAGGATTGGGGTTATACTTCTAAGGACACTTGTCCTTTATGTGGTAAGTGCTCAGAAACAATTCACCACCTGTTGTTTGAGTGTGAGTATAGTAAGAAGTTAATTCGTCTGTTGCAGGGTAGAATTGGAAGACATATGGCTTTTAATAGTCTGGATTCTTGCAATAGCTGGTGTTGGAAGGCTGCAAATCATTTTCAGAAGATGGCCTGTCAAAGCCAGTGGCGGAGCTAGCAAGGTACAAGGGGGGGACAACTGTCTCCCCACTATAAAAAAAAATAGCTTATAATTTTATTTATGTGCAGTAGCATATGAACCAAGATGGTCCAGTGGTTGAACGAAGATGGTCCAGTGGTTGAAGTGTTGATTTTAGAGCCTTATCCACACCAATCAGCACGGAATCAAACCCCCTCCCTGTCATTTTAATTTTTTATCTCTTATTTTCCTGAACTTGCATTTATGTAGTAGAATGAGGAGGCTGTGTTTGTCAGCTTGGTTACTGGAATGAGGTTGTGTTTAGAGGACTAATGCCCGATTCTTTTTTTATCATTTCACTTTCTTTTTTTTTAAAAAAAAAAAACTCCTGTATTATTTTATGAGAAAGACAATATATATCCTTCCATAGTTCCATATTTTCTTAATAATTATATCTATTTAAATGTTTTAAAGTAAGACAAATTTTTAAATAAAACAGATGTACAATATTTTTATCGTTGTAGGGAATATTTCAAGCTTTAATTCCACTAGCTTGAACCCCACTGTGATCATACACTAAAGTACGGTGGCGTCCAAAACGGAAGAAGATAGAGCAAAAGAGTCGCCAACGAGTTTTTTTTAGGAACTTGTAAACCGTTCATAGGATGAAGGTTACACCCCTTAACGATCCAAGAGATCGTCAACTCCATAAGGTCTAGAACCAAATAAGGGTTCGGGGATGAAGGTACAAATCCAATCTAAAATAGATTGAACCTTCCCTAATAATAGGCCTCTACTTTATTCTGATCGTATTCATGTGCGCTTTCTGATTAACATGCAATCATTAGGTTAACCCTAAACCTATTTAATCTATGTTGGTTGAATATTAATGCACATACAAACTATTATTGGCGATCACTTGAATTATCATCAAAGTTAACCAAACAAGATTATTAATTATCTTATTAAGCGCAATTACAAGTACAAAATTCCCTTTAAACATGCATAAAAGGCGTGATCAAGCAATAAATAATAAATAAGCATCAAGCAACATAATAATAACAATAATAAAAATAATAATCATAATAATAATCATCATTAAAATAATAATAATAATAAATTATAACAGTTATAATCATAATCATGTTCATGTTAATATTAAAGCATAATAAAAATAGCAAGATCCTAGGCATGATACTAACAAGATTAATAACAAACCCTAGCATGTCACTAAGCAATAAATATCAAATCTTTAACCCTAACATGATACTAACAATCATAAATATTAGGAAGAACATAGGAAGCATCGTAACAATCATATTTAATATTAAAATTACCCTAGACATGATACTAGGAATATCACAACAATAATATAAACATGATTTCTACATCATAATATCAATTAAAACCATTAAAGCACTTACTTTGATGTTTCGTACCTCTTTCTAATAACAAAATACACACGTTAGTAAATTCAAGGAAAATAATAATCAAAACAATTAAATTAAATAATGGAAAGAGAGATTTGGGACCAAACCCTCATAAATTAAACCTTTCACGTCAAGGGCAAAGGCAACTTCGAATATGGCTAGGTGTTTCTAGATCTTGCGAATACGGAATTTTGTATTTGAGAAAAGGCTAGTTTAGAAAAAGAGAGAGAGAGAGAGAGAGAGAATAATCAAGAAAATCTTGATGAGAGTTGGTGAAAATTGGTGAATGAAAACGGAGTTTTTAATACAATATTTATAGAGAAAATCAGCCAAAAAGATAAAATAAACAAAACAGAGTCTGACACACAAAAAACAGAGTCGGCGCCAACCCTGGCTAACTGGCGCCAGGCACCAACACTAGCGCCAGACGCCAATGGCTAGCGACAGGCCTGGTTCCAGGCGCCAAAGCCTGGGGTCAGGCGCCATGCCTATTTTCAACGCGTTTTCGAAAATCAGATAAGTTTGCCGTACTGGAGGATAAAATCATATAATTCCCTCAAAAATGCTATTTGATTTTAATTAAAACTCTAAAAAGTCAAAAGTCAATTTATCAATGCTAATTGAATTAGGAATGAAAAGAACCTTCTAGAAAATTCTAGAAGACTAAAACCATTCCTAATTGCATTAGGAATGATAAATCCGTATAAGGCCCCCCCTAGATCATTGGGCCGCATATAAGGCTCAAAACAGGCCCAGTTTAGTAATTTGGCCATAACTTCCTCAATATTCATCGGAATTGGGCTTATAATATATCGTTGGAAAGCTCTGGTCAAGCCTCATCCAACTACACTATTAATAGACCCATATCATGGACCAACCAAACTGGATTGGCTATTTTCTTAAAACAAGTTTTCAAAAACAGAGAGAAAAGAAAAGAAAACTTTCCGCAACACTATACTTTCCACACTTTCGCTTCATTCGATTAAGATTTGACGCGAATGGTACTCATCACTGGGTTTGGTTTTGGAGAGACATAAATGGGTGTCTACAATCGTACATCCATTTTAAAGTTACTCTAAAATGAGCAAAAGTTACCCTTATATGAACAAAATTTACCTTGACATAAATAAAAGTTACGAATTATTTATGATTTATTGATAAAAAATTACCCAAAAAATTGTAAAAATGACCCCGGATGTATACAAAAGTAACTCTTTAAATACTTTGTATTATTTTGCATGAATGAACCTCTCAAATTACGGTTGTTGCATTTGATTAGCTATACTATCTTACAGTGGCGGATCCATGATTCCAAATTAGGGGTAGCACTAATGATAGGGAAAAAAAATTTATACACCTACTAACTTGAAACGCAGACTAATTTGATTTTAAGTTGGTAATAACATAACAAGTTAAGTTTTTGCATAATGCATGTATTGTGATTGTGTCGAAAAAGTTACTATCAAATTTTTGAATATCTATAGATTTTGCACTGAGTTATTATCACATAAATTTTCACTAAAAAAATTATCTCATAAATTATATATGTACACCAAATACTTTGTATTACAACCATATAAAATTAGTCAAATTTATAAGATATTATCTATACTATTAATTGTTCTTAACCAATTTTTATGAGAGATAACCTTTATCTAATTGAACATAAATGTCAAAGAAGTGGAAATTAGTAAATTGGGAATATTAAATATTTTATGGAAGTCATTTTTATTTAAATCTATTTGAATATAAATGCATGTTAAGAAAGAAAAAAAAAATGTCTGGGAGGAGACTCAAACCCAGCCCAAATACCCAAGAAAGTTAAAATCACCACCTAAGTTACCACTGAAGCAGCTTCAGTTATTGTAGACACCCATTTGTGTCTCCCCAAAACCAAACCCATTGATGAGTGCCTTTCACGCCGAATCATAATAAAATGAAACGAAAGTGTGGAAAGGTCTAGTGTTGCGGAGAGTTTTATTTCTTTTCTTTTCTCTTCTCTCTGTTTTTGAAAACTTTATTTTAAGAAAATAGCCAATCCAGTTTGGTTGGTCCATGATATGGGTCCAATAGTGGTACAGTTAGATGGGGCTTGCAAAGACCTTTCCAACGATATATTATAAGCCCAATTCCGATGAATATTGAGTAATTTATGACCAATTTACTAAACTGGGCCCGGTTTGAGTTTTAAGTACGGCCCAATGATCTAGGGGAGGGCCTAATATGATTTATCATTCCTAATGTAATTAGGAATGGTTTTTGGTCTTCTAGAACATTCTAGAAGGTTCTTATCATTCTTAATTCAATTAGGATTCTTTAGAGTTTTAATAAGATCAAATAGCATTTTCGACTGAAATTATATTATTTTATCTTCTAGTACGGTAAAATTATCAGATTTTCGAAAACGTGTTAAAAGTCGGTTTGGCGTCCAACCCCAGGCCTTGGCGCCTGGAACCAGGATTGGCGCCAGACGCCATCCATTGGCGCCTGGCGCTAGCCACTGGTCCTGGCGTCAATGAGCCAGGGCTGGCGCCAAGTTGTTTTTGCGATCTTCAGACTCTGTTTTGATAAATTATCTTTTTTGGCTGATTTTCTCTATAAATATCGTATCAAAAACTCCGTTTTGAGGGACGGATTATCATCTATTATTCACCACTTTTTTTATTCTTAATTTTTA